AGACAATGAAACCCGGCCGCATGTGAGGCCCAGAGCTTCCTGCGTGCCCTCTGTGCCTTCGCCAGCTCTGCCACACGCAGGGTCAGCACCCGTGGACGACGCGAGCCCCTCCCGGCTCCCGGCCAGGTCCATAAACAGACCTGGACAGCGGAGCCCAGATCTAGAGAGAAGCACGTGTTCTCGCGCCGCACCTACGTCCACAGCCCTCACAGCTGAGAAGCCCAGACACATGCTCCAGGCTTCCTGGTGACAGCCGACCTACCAGCTGGACTGGTCTGAGCCCTGCTGACGGTCACGGCGAACCCCGCCGCATGGCAGGCTGCACTCAGACCCACTCCAAGGACACACGCCTGCAGGGGCCCGTGGCTGCTTCTGACCTGACCCTCGGCCTCCATCCCCTATGAGCCTGGCGCAACCTGATGGCTGTGTGCTGGGCTCCGGGTTCAGCGTGGAGAGTGTGCCCCAAAGCTGCCGTCCTCCACTTCTCGAGGAGCCCAGCCCCTCTTAGGACATCACACGAACACACGTTTGTCACTTCCCTGTAGTCAGACTCTTCGATCCAAAGAGCAAGTCCTCAGAAGCTACATCAAATTGCAGCAAACTTAAAAATACAAATGAAAACCTAGCTCCGCCTTCAGACCAATATGCCAAATCGTCTGCCTCTTCGATTTATATTCAAATAAAAAGAAACCCTAAGTAAAACCCAGGAACATTTGGGAACTGCACGTTGTAAGAGGAAACAGAACGGTCGTTCAGGCACCCTCAATATGGCCCTGCCCACGTCCGCCAGCCCCGGGGAAGGGTGAGGCGTCACCGTGCACTCCTGCGCATCACCGAGACTCACGATGGCGCCTCACAGTCCCAAGGCAGCAGGAGAGCACGAGAATCAGGGCGTGGCCATGTGCACAGTGGCACCCATGCCCTCCCGCCCCACGAAAGCTGCGGTACCTGATGGTTCCCGTGGGGGAGGGCAGGGGGCTGATGAGATGGGCCATGGTGTCTGGGATGTTGATGGTCAGGGGCGAGATGTGGGCCTGGACGGGCTTCACCGGGGACTCGAGCGCCTCCTGCTTCTCCCGCTTCTCGCTGGACAGGGCGGTGAACGTTATCTTGATGTTTGTGCTCGGGAACCTGAACGTGCACCTGCGACAGAACAGCCGTGTGAGTGTCCTGCAGGACTGAGGGACGTGGGGTCCGCCCAGGGCCGGACGTGGCGCCCACGTGCCCCGAAGGCATGGGGGCCGTCGGGTGTGGCAGAGCTGCCTTGGAGCCCACTCCCAGTGCAGCTCACACGCTACCTGCAGCTGAGGAACGAAACCACGAAGGCAGCTCATGATTTTAACATTCTGGTGAACAAAACATCATTTAGACCAGCCAAACAAGAAAATAAAAAGGACAGCGAACGCAAACACCACTTAATCTGCATTGTCCCTTTGAAAATAAATGAACGTTGTTTTAGGTCTTACAGTAGATTAGAAACAAAGACTGAAATACCACTTAGTATGCGTTTTTCTTTTCGAAACAAATGTACAGGTGTAATTGGGTCATTAAGCAGACAGACAATTTTATGGCTATTTCTCATTTAAGAAAAAAGTCATTACTTAAAAACGCTATCAGCTTTTTGACTGAGCAGACATAAATCTGGAGGGAAAGGTTTACAATTTAACACCCTGGCTCACCTGTAATATTGCTTGCTTGCCATAACTCAAGTGCACTTATTAAAAATAAAGTAATGCAAGCCGAACGCCTTCACAGAATAAGTTAAAAATAGCTCTAGAGACTCCCAGTCCCAGAGTCTCGATCCCACACCCGTCCCACAGAGCCCAATTCGGGTCCCATCCACAAATGGCTGAAGGACCAGCCGTGGTGCTCAGCCGGCTCTGCCCACCACCCTGTCCGACCTCGCTGCCTGCCAAGGAAAGGCCCAGCACATGGAGGTCACACGCCCCTCCCACTTCCAGGGTCACTCGACAGGGTTCAGACGCTTCCTGCTTCGGGTCAGTCCTCCGTCTCAGTGGACAGAGCAGAGCCTGGCGAGCTGACCACCTCCTTCCTGGCGTCCAGCACCCATGCCCCTCCCTGGTCCTACCTCTCAGGGCTCCTCCTTCAGACTGCCAATGCCCCAGACCGAGACTCCAGCTTCCGTGCTTCCCTGTCTCACCCGGGCCCGTGACCTTCAATTCCACCCCCGCAAAAGGCTCCGGAATCCACATTTCCCACACTGCAGACCCGTCTCCCACGGCCTTCCCGATGCCCCCTCTGCACGCACACAGGCGTCTCTAACGAGACCCCGTGCCAACTCCTCCCCAGCTCCCCTGATGCGGGGGACAGCATCAGCCAGCTGCTCAGGCCAGAAGCACAGGGTTCACCCAACCCACCTGCTAAGCCATCCGCTCTCACTTTCAAAACACGCCCTATCACCAGAAGCGAAAACGTCTACTCAGCAGGAGACCCTGCTCAGACGGTGAAAACACACGCCCCCCTCCCTTGTTCAGCTGGTCGGAGAAAACACGTACAAACGACACCTCCAACGAAGGACTCCTGACCAGACTGTAAAGGTCTACCTACCTAAAGACGACAGAAAAATAACCCACTGAGAAAATGGGCAAGACTCAGAAAAAACATCTCCCCAAAGATACACGATGGCAAGTAACCACGTGAAAAGATGTTCAACGTCACTAGCCATTAGGGCACCACAAATTAAAACCTCCACGAGATACTGCCAGATAGTGATCAGGATGGGTGAAATTTACAAGACTGACAGCACCATGGGCCAGTGAGGATGAGAAGAAACAGGCCTGGCCCCTGTCGCTGGGGCCACAGGACAGGGCACAGCCTCCCAGGACAGTGGTCTGTCGCTTTCTCCTGAAGTGAGACATGTGCATGTCACACAACCAGGCAGCTACACTCGGTGTTTACCGGGAGAGGTGAACACTTAGTTCACACAGAAACCTGCACACCAGTGTTCACGGCAGCTTCGTTTGTCAGAGCCAACCTGGCAAGTCCCCCACTGTCGTGCAGCAGGAGAACGGTCACACAGACTGGCCCAGCCACACCGCAGACACGGCTCAGCTGCAAAAGGAGCAGACGACTGCTACAGCGGCCACCTGGCAGGGCCGGTCTCCAAAGTTACAGGCTGTACGATCCCAGTCACGTCCCATCGCCGGAACGACAAAACCACAGACGTAGCGAACAGAGGAGGGGTGGCCAAGAGCGGGTGGAGAGAGGGACATCTGGCCCCAGAGGCAGCCCCAGGGGGTCCGCTGTGTGATGGAGCTCTCCGTCTGCACCTCGCTCACTCTGTACACGGGATATGTCACAGGATCACGAAGACACACCAAAAAACCCACGCATGTGAAAAGGTGTGGGAAAGCCCACATACCCACGGCCCCAACGACTGGTTCCCACGCCGCCACCTCGGCCCGCTCCTGCGTGCTGGTCCTCGGCCCCCAGGGACACTGGACAGTGTCTGCAGTCAGGCTGCCAGCCCAGGGAGATGCACCCTGGCAGCAAGTGGGCAGAGGCTGGGCAAGGCCAACGCTACACCCCACTGTGCACAGACAGCCGCACCGCAGAGCGGGAGCCCAGCACACCCTCTACTACTGCCAGCCCCCGATAGCCCGGCCCCCACCCGGCCCCCACCCAGCCGTGCTCCCAGGTCCCACCAGTCTGTCTGCACCCAGCAGTCAGAGTGAGCTCTGAAGGGCGCTCGAACATACCAAAGAGCCGGAGGGGAAGCGGCCCGTCTGCCCCGCCCTCGGCTGCCAGGCTCCCTCTGCGCCAGCGCCCCAGAGGCCCCCGTGCACGCTGGGCCAGACCCGACGGCTCGCTCGCCACCCAGGGTCCCCACCTACACCACACCGCCGACCCAAGGGCCTCCCCCTGACCACCCGGCGCTCTCCCCTCACCCTGCCTTGTCCTTCGCCTCACTGTGACCACATGACTCTGCCTGACACCTGCATGCAGCCACTTGCTGTCACCCCCAGTACGATGCAAGCGCCATTAGAGAAAAGCCCTTGCCTGCTGTGATCTGGAGCCTAGGAGAGTGCCTGGTACACACAGCAGGCCCTCAGTACAAACTGGCTGAATTAATGAAAAAGCACCCAATTTCATATACTAAAAAGGTAATTAAAGTAAGCAAGTCACTTGAATAAAACAAACAGGAGCCCTACATCCGAGCACCTTGCAACTCTTCATCACGAGCATGAGATCTGAACAATCAACTCCAGGCCTAGAAAAGAAGGTGACTGAGACCACACTGGCCGCACACGATGACCACGGGAGTGAGGGCACGCGCGCCCCGTCCCCTCACGGGTGTCAGGCCGTTTGCTGGGTTACCTGTCGCATATACCCACAGCAGCTCAGCCGGCGCTTGAGAAGGCCAGGGAGGAAGGTGGAGCCCAGGGGCGCCTGGATCTGTCCTGAGTCCCACACGGCACCGGGACACTGGCGAGGCCGGGGCCACACCAGACAGACGCGGACACCGCACGGCGTGGGCACCGCCTCCCTTCTGGGGTCTGAAATACTGAATCACAGGCACCGATCTGATCCTGCGGATAACAAGGCCTACTCAACATCCTTGCAAACTATTAACAAAATCGACTCGACCGAGAGGGAAAGGCAGATCTCGACTGGCATCGAAACCACGGGAGACGAAGGAAGAATCAAAGAAAGAGAAAGAACCAACGCAACGAAAGATGCCCAAACGCGCGAGCTGCACCGCGAGCGGCACTGCGGGACCCACGAGTCGAAGCGACAATGCAGGTGACCGTGTCTCCACTGAAAACACAACGCCAAGTTGAAAAGAGCTCTCCAGAGTCTGTCTAGAGCAAAGGTCAGAAACACTGTGCATTAAGTGGCGTTCAGTGTTTCTCGTATACCTTCTGCTTATCGCTATCTCTTCACGAAAAATCGACCACCTGCCAGGTGCTTTGAGCCCATTCAATCTGACCCTCCAGCTACATACAAAAGTTACTCGCAGATCCATCGACTGTGCTGGGGCACACACTGCCCAGTGCTGACGGTGCCTGTCACCTCGAAGACAGTGGCAGGAAGGCTGGCCTGGCGGCAGGTTTCAACCAAGATCTGCGAGGTGCCCAGATCTTGCCAGCCGTGTCCTGGGTCCTCCTCACTGCCAATCAGGGAACCACCTAAACACAGCACCAACCTGTCACGAAGCACAGTGGCAGACCCAGGGCTCCCATGTGTGGAAGCCACACGGGACACGGATACTGCTCTTTCTCGTTATGCAGGGGACCCTGTCCCACGTGTAGACTCTGAGCCAGGCCAGCACAGCTCTGACCTCCTCGCCCAGCTCCTGACACAGTGGCAAGACGTGACTCAGGACAAGGTGACAGGTGCCCTCTGGGAGCCGAGGAGCCCAGCAACACCAGGAAACGGGGCCTTCTGCGCCAGCACGACTGCGGAGATTAAAGGAGAGAACGCCGACCGTGTCACTGAGAAAACAGAACTCGCTAAAAGCTGGATTCATCAACATCGACACTAAAAACGCTTATTAAATCAAATCAAATACGGTACTAGTTTGTCTGCCACACAAACAAAAACCCACACAAAGTGAAACTGGGGGTTACACACTGTGAAACTGGGGCTTACACAATGTTAGCAATGATGGTTTTTAACCAACCAAAAGCGATCCAGGCCAAGAGGCATCATCAGCCCGAATGGAGGCAGCGAGAGCTCAGCCGTCCGCCACACGCCGGCACCAGCACTGTGTCTAGTTTACAGGAGACTCGGGCCAGAACCTATTTCATCAATGTTGTGAAAAGCAGGTGTGTAAGACTCTACTTCTGGATTTGCTGCCAAAAATAGCTAACCCAGATCTCACCGAGATGAAACAGCAGACAAGTAAATCCAAGTTGAGGAGTATTCTACAAAAAACTGGCCTGTCCTCTTAAAAAATGTCAGTGTCGTGGACAACATCAGAGAAGGCCGAGGCACGGACACAATGACAGGAGGACAAAGACAGGAGACCGAGACACCGCTGGACGGGGGCCTCAGTGAGGGACCCGCCCAGCCTAAACACGGCGGCGCTGCTGCTGGGGCCTGTACCGTGGCTGTGAAGGACATTGTTCTAGGAAACGCAGGAGGAAACCTTTTAGAGGTAAAATGCACCACGTTTGACA